AAAAAAAAAAAAAAAGTGAGGATGTGAGGAGTGCCTGGGGGCTCAGTCAGTTGAGTATCCGATGCTTTTTTTTTAATTTTTTTTAAATGTTTATTCATTTTTGAGAGAGAGAGACAGAGTGTGAGCAGGGGAGGGGCAGAGAGAGAGAGGGAGACACAGAATCTGAAGCAGGCTCCAGGCTCTGAGCTGTCAGCACAGAGCCTCATGTGGGGCTTGAACCCACAAACCCTGAGATCATGACCTGAGCCAAAGTCAGACAGTCAACTGACTGAGCCCCCAGGCACCCCAGCATCTGATTCATGATTTTGGCTGGGGTCATAATCTCGTGGTTCATGGGTTTGAGCCCTTTGTTGGGCTCTGCACTGACAGTGAGAAGCCTGCTTGGGATTCTCTCTCCCTCTCTCTCTCTCTGCCCTCTCCCCAGAGACTATCTCTCTCAAAATAAATAAATAAAACTTAAAAAAAATAAAAGTGAGGATGTGAAATATTTTATCACATGTCTTTCTTGATCCTCAGATCCCCTTCCCTAGTTCTTTTTTATCCTTTGTATGTCTGGATGGTCTTTTGTAGGTAGCCACAAATAGCCGAGTTTATTTATTTGACATTTTCCTTCTGGGAAGTCGTGCTTTCAACAATGGACTTCAGATGGTATTAGAAGACAAGAGAATTTTGAAGGTGAGTGTGTAAGCTGATTCCTCAGCTATTAAGATTAGCAACCAGGTTCTAATTACTCTGTCTTTGTCTTCTGATTCCTTAGGTTATCCATGATTGTCGTTGGCTTTCTGATTGCCTCTCTCATCAGTATGGAATTTTGCTGAATAATGTCTTTGACACACAGGTACATGCAGGGAAACCATAGATTCAGTCCAGCATATATAGCTTTTATAGGAAATAGGGCTTATCTGATGAGTGATTGAATTTTTGTGTGTGCCTCATTCTTGTCCACTTGTCATTTGGTGAACTGTGAAAGCACTACAGAAAAGTTACTTAAAATTATTTAGGATTTTTCCCCCTCATTTTGCTCCAGAATTTGTCAAATAAGAAGCAAACTCGGGGGCACCTGGATGGCCCAGTTGGTAGAGCATGTAACTCTTGATCTCAGAGTCATGAATTTGAGTCCCACGCTGGGTGTAGAGATTACTTAAAGAATAATAATAATAAAATCTCAAAATTAAAAAAAAAGAAGCAAGCTCAATATTCTACAGCATTCAAAAACTCAAAGGATTTGGAGGTCATTCAGAAGTCTGACATGAATCACTTAATGTGAGGTGAATAATCACATCTGTGCCTTTAGCACATATGTATCAGTTAGGATTGATGGCTAGTCAGCATGTAGCTCAGAGAAGCAGGTTGTCTTAGATATGCCCCCAAAGCCTATTCTAGGCCAAAATAGCCTGAATATATGTGGTTTTTCTCTGCTCTAAAGAACTCTAGAGAAATAAGAAATTCTTAGTTTATACTAACTAGCTCTTAGAGCTCATGTGTGTTTCTGGTTTGGCTGTGAGAATAGTAAAACCACTAGTTTTCATTATGTTTTCTTTAGGTTCTTCTAGTCTTCTAGGTTTATGCCAGTTAAAGGGACATGTTGAATACATAAGCCTAGTACCTTTGGAGAGGTTTAAAATAATGAGTTAGCCAGTTATCTTTTTTTTAATGTTTACTTATTTTTGAGGGAGAGAGAGAGAGAGAGAGCACGTGCACATAAGTGGGGGAAGGGCAGAAAGAGAAGGAGGCAGAGGATTCAAAGCCAGCTCTGCACTGACAGCATTGAACCTGACGTGGGGCTCAAACTTAGGAACCGAAATGTGAGATCATGACCCGAGCTGAAGTAGACACTCAACTGACTGAGTCACACAGTCATCCCTCATTTTATTATTATTATTATTACTACTACTACTATATTTTAAATAATCTCTATGCCCCAGCCAATTTAAAGAAATTTTTTTTATTTTTTTCAATATAACAAATTTGTTGTCCAAGTGATTTCCATAGCACCAGTGCTCATCCCCAAAGTGCCCTCCTCAATACCCATCACCCTCCCCTTCCTCCCACCCCCATCAACCCTCAGTTTGTTCTCAGTTTTTAAGAGTCTCTTATGCTTTGGCTCTCTCCCACCTCTTTTTTTTTTCTTAAGAAATTTTTAAGTTTATTCACTCAGAGAGAGAGAGAAACATGCTGCGTGTCGTGTAAAGACAGGGGGGGAGAGGGCAGAGGGAAAAGAGGAGAGAATCAATCACAAGCAGGCTCTGCATGGTCCTGAGAATTACAAAAGCAGTATGCGGCTGGAACTCAGGAGGTCATGACCTGAGCTGAAGTCAGATGCTTAAATGACAATACCCAGGCACCCATATTTTTTTAATTTTTAAAAAATTTTGGGGTTTCGGGTGGCTCAATCAGTTAACATCTGAGTTGAAACTAGTCACTCCTGTCTGTGGTTGAGCCCGTATCAGGCTCTGTGCTGACAGCTCAGAGCCTGGGCCTCTTTGGATTATAGCTGTCTCCCTCTCTCTCTGCCCCTCCCCTGCTCATCTTCTCAAAATAAACATTAAAAATTTTTTAATAAAAAATAAAAATGTTTAGAAAAGTGACATTTTAGTGAGAGAGTGCAGGCAAGTGGGAGGAAGGGCAGAGGAAAGAGAGAGAGAGAGAAGAGAGAGAGAGGAGAGAGAATCTCAAGAAGCAGGCTCCCATGTGCTCATCAGGAGCCAACATGAGACTTAATCTCTGACCATGAGATCACTGACCTGAGCCCAAATCAAAAGAGTCAGATGCTTAACCAACTACCGTCCCTAATATTATTATTTTTAGCAGATGTTCCTAAAGTTCAATTTTATGTTGTTAAATGTAGTTCATATTTTGCTCTTTATATATCTGCTCATGATGAACTTTATACCATTTCTCTTACATTTTACATGTTCCTTGGACCCCTTCTTTCAGGATCTTTCACTATATGGAGATTATGTCTGGCTTCCTCCAAAGTAAGAGAAAGTGCCCTGGTGGCCTCAATCAGTTAAACATCTAACTTTGGCCTGAGTCACTATCTCTGGTTTGTGAGTTTTGAGCCCACATCAGCTCTCTGCTCTCAGCCCTTTGGATCCTCTGTCTCCTTGTCTCTCTGTCCTCCTTCCCACTTTCTCTTTCAAAAATAAATATGTATTGTATAAAAAAAAAGATTCTTGCCTTGCCCTCATACCACTTTGTGCACATTGCATACGATGTGTGTGTGTGTGTGTGTATTTTCGAAAAAAATTTAAGTGGTAGCCTGGTGGCTCAGTCAGTTATCTGACTCTTGATTTTGGCTCAGTCATGATCTCATGGTTTGTGGGTTTGAGCCCTCATTGGACTCTGTGTTGGCAGGCGTGGAGTCTGTTTGAAGTTCTCTCTCTCTCTCTCTCTCTTGCCCCCTCTCCTGCTTGCTCCCCTCTCTCTCTGTCTCCATAAATAAATAAATAAACATTTAAAAGTTAAAATAAAAACTTCTTTAAAAAAAATAAATGTGGCAGTTCTACCTGGGTGGCTCAGTGAGGTTAAACATCTGACCGGGTCATGACTCACGGTTTGTGAGTTCGAGCCCCACATCTTCAGGCTCTGTGCTGACAGCTCAAAGCCTAGAGCCTGCTTCAGATTCTGTGTCTCCCTCTCTCTGCCCCTCCCTGTTCATGCTCTGTCTCTCTTTCTCTTCCAAAAATAAACATAAACCAAATAAATAAAATAAATAAATAAATAAATAAATAAATAAATAAATAAAATAGGTGCCCTCAGTGACTCAAATCAGTTAAATCACAGTTGGTTTTGGCTCAGGTTATGATCTCACGGTTCATGAATTCAAGCCCTGCATCTGGCTCTACACTGATGTGAGGCCTGTATAGCTGGAATTCTCTGTTTGCCTCTCTCTCTGCCCCTCACCCACTCATTCTCCATCCCTCTCTCAAATAAATAAACTTTGAATTAAATTAAATTTTTTTAATGTAAGAGAATTTCTCATTGTTCTCCTGAGGCCATTAGGTTTTTTTTTTTTTTTTTTTTATTTTAGAGAGAGAGAGAGAGCAAGCACTAGAATCTGAGGCAGAGAGAGAGATGAAGACACAGAATCCGAAGCAGGCTCCAGGCTCTGAGCTGTCAGCATGTTAGGCTTCTTGATTAGACCCCATATGGAGACGTTGGCATATCTTTCCATATTTTCTTTTCACATTTCCATAGTACAGGAAGCAAGAATTCAGAATTTTTCCAATTTTTTCCCTTTAACACAATGTATTGATTTCCTATTGCTTTTGTAACAAATCACTACAAATTTAGCAGCTTAAAGCAAAATAAATTTACTCTTTTACAGTTCTGGAGGTCAGCAGTCTGAAATTATTTTCACTGAACTAATGTCAAGATGTCAGCAGGGTTGGTTTCTTTTGGAGGCTCTGAGGGGAGTCTCTTTCTTTGCCTTTTCAGGTGTTACCTGTATTCTTTGGCTTGTGGCTCCTGCCATCTTCAGAGTGCACCACTGCAACTTCTGCTTCTATCACCCGATCGCCTTCTCCCGTGACTATAATCAAATCTCTCTGCACTTCCCTCTTATTGTTACATTTAGGGCCCACCCATATAATTCAAGAGAATCTCCCTACCTCAATATCCTTACCTTAATCACTCCTACAAAGTCATTTTGCCATATAAGATAACACTGACAGATTCCAGGGGTTAGGATATGGATGTCTCTGGGGGCCATTATTTAGCCTGCCACACACAGATTAAATAATATGTCCAATTCTTAATTTTTTTAAAGATTTTACTATTTTTAAGTTATTTTTACACCCAGCATGGGGTTTCAATTCACAACCTTGAGATCAAGAGTCGTCGAATGCTCTGCCAACTATGCCAATCAGGTGCCCTTCCATTTCTTAATTTTATTCGCTTTCCTTACCAACACTTTCCCAGAGTTGCTGATAAGTAATACAAACACTTACTGAAATTTATTTTCCTTTCTCCATTGTCTAAAGGCACCAAAGAGTAATAGATAACTGTAAGGCAGGCAAATAAAAGGAGTAGAAGACAAAGTAGCCAAGGATGCATTAAAGTTGGGTGATCCTTTTCCTTTTTTTTTCCTCCTAATTTTTTAGAATAAGTTGACTGAACATCTTTTCTGTTGGCATTATCTATCATGTGGGTCTTTGGGGAAAATGGTATTTAATGACATTTTTCTAAATATATTTCTATTTATGCCATGAGATAGGTCTCTATAAATATTCTATATTGTACAGACAAGTCTTTTTTTTTTTTTTTTAATGCCACAGGTAGCAGATGTCCTTCAGTTTTCCATGGAAACAGGTGGCTTTCTTCCAAATTGCATCAGTTCTTTACAGGAGAGTTTAATCAGACACCTTAAAGTAGCCCCTAAATCTCTCTCCTTTCTGGAAGAGAGACAAAAATTGATTCAGGTGGGTATTAAAGAATGTCCCACATGACATTAATTTTTTCAAGTGTTTTGTGAGCAGGATTATCATCATATTATATAGACAACTGACAGTTGTTATGTAAGCATGTGAGCATTGCCAAAATCTTAATTGTTTCAAATGGAAATAGTTTGTGATCTCAAGTGAATAAAAGCCAGGATTCAGATTTGTACTCTGAAATAAATTTGCAATTCTCCAGGGGAAGAGAATTCCCATATTGTTGGGAATATGGATTAAGGTGATGGAAGAAAAATCATCCCAATTATTTCTCCAAAAGTAAGGTAAATTTTCCTTAGTTCCTAATAGCTCTGCCTACAAACTTAGGTCATGACTATATTGGCCTCAGTTTTGGTCCTATAATTAAGTCTACTTCAGTTTTGAATGAGAAGTCCTGATTGATTGATGGATCAATTGATTGATCCATCTCTCTCTTTCTCTCACCCTCCCACTCCATCTTTTCCCTCTAACATACACACACTCATACATACATGAATTGTGTGTGTATATTTTCGGAAGGCTAGCCAGAGTGTGAAGATAGAAGATAATAACTGAAGAAAATGACAGTAACTCCTAAGCAACTCTTGAATAAACATTTACTTTCTTTAAAGTTTTGCTTATTATTCAGAGAAAATTGTTTTGGTGTTTCTAGGAAAATCCAGAAGTGTGGTTCACACGACCTCTTTCACCATCTTTACTGAAAATTTTGGCCCTAGAGGCTACCTACCTACTACCCCTTCGTTTGGTACTCCTGGATGAGATGATGTCTGACCTAACCACCCTTGTGGATGGTTATCTAAACACCTATCGAGAAGGGTCCGCAGATCGCCTGGGAGGCACCGAGGTAGGTACAGCTGTCTGTGACTGTATTTTTAGGACTTCCACTTCTGTCTTGGTCCTCGTGGAGGGCACAGTGATGCCCACTTTTCACAGCTACAACAAATCCTGAGGCCAACTTGGTAATAAATATTTTTGAAGGGGCTATAGCTTGGGCTTAATTCATCTCTTTGAGTACTTTTTCACAATATTAAGTTATGTTCTGTCAAGGAATGAATAAATTTAAGATTTAATTACTAATTTTTAAGAAGCCAGCATAATGTAACAGAACTGTAGACCTGGAGTTGGCAAACTATAGCCCTAAGGCCACATCTGGCCCACAGATTGTTTTATGCAGCTCGAAGGTAAGAATGGTTGTTATAGTTTTAAAGGATTGTTTAAAAAAAGTGTATGCAACAGAGAGCATTTGTGGCTAAAATATTTATTATTTGGCTCCTTACATAAAAGGGTTACAGTCTGCTGCTATTAGCCATTTTCACTTAGGAATACTGAAGCAAAATCCTAAATAAAGTAATAGCATTTTTGGTATGATCCCTACTTAGATGTATTATACTAATACATCTTTTAGTATCTTTTAACGTGCTGCTGGTTTCTGCTTTACTATTAGCAAATTATCCATTTTACTGGAACAAACAAAGTCTTATGATTATCTCATGCATGCTGAAAAAAATGTAACTTTCCTGTATTTTGCTCTCACTGTTTAACAACAACAAAAAATTATAAAAATTCTTGCATACCTGGTTTGATTGGAGAATTTAAATATCTCTCATTTATCATCATAAAACTAAGGAGTTTTATAACTTTATTTTGTTCTCACTGTTTAGTGCTGAAAAAATTTGGTAATATTCTATATACATTACTGATTAAAGTTGGAATGCCTGATAAAACATATATCACAAGCAAGAAGTCTACATAATGTTTGATTGGGAACACTAACAGCATTCCCATTAATATCAAGAAAATACAAAAATTGTGACTACCACAACTACTTTAATATTTTTTTGAAGCTATTAGCCAATTAAATTTGAAGGAAAAAAAAAAGACAAACTACAAAAATTGAACAGGATGAATCACAATTATGCCTGGCCTATGATACAACTGAAAACTGAAGAAAATCAATGGAAAAAGATTACCACAAAGGAACAATTTAGTAAAATGAATACTGATATAAAACGTGATAGCTTTCCTACATCCATACACACAGCAAGAAAACATAATGGGAGAAAACATCCACTTATATGGTTGTAACAAAAGGTAGAATACCTAGAAATAAATATTATAAGAAATGTGAAATATAGAGATAAAGAAAACATTAAAATATTACTGAATGACATAAGAGGACTTAAATGAATGGTGACACTAAGTATTTTTAGCAATCAGTTATTCCTGAATTAACTTTTGAATTTACCTCTATTCTAAGAAAAATATTAACAGCAGCTTTATTTTTGCAAACTATGATTGTAGTGTTTATAAAGATAAATATAAATAAGAATAATCCTGTCAGCTATGAAAACATTTAAGTCTATATTAAATAAAACAGGTGTGGGGCGCCTGGCTGGCTCAGCCAGTAGAGCATATGACTCTTGATCTCGGGGCTGGGAGTTTGCCACTTTGGGTACAGAGATTAGTTAAAAACAAACAAACAAAAAATTAAAAATTAAAAGTTTGTGACTGGTACGTGTGTAGGCAGATCAATGGAAAATAGTAGAGAACCCAGCAGTAGCTCCAATATATATCTATCGGTATAGTTGGGATAAAGGTAGAATTTCCAATTAATGATAAAAAGATAATTAGTCAATAAATGGCTTTAGGCAATTGACTAACTATTGTAGAGGAGGAGATCAGAGTTGGATTACTATTTCTTTTATTACCAAAGTAAACTCCTTGGATCAAGTATTTATGTAAACAGTGAGATTATAAAATTATTGGAGAAAAAAGAATTAAAAGAAAATTATTTCACAATAAGGAATGCTTTTCTTCCCCCCGCCCCAATTCATTGAGGAATAATTGATAAAATTAATTGTATATAGTTAAAGCGTACATTGTGAAAATTTGCTATACATATACATTGTGGGAATCATTATTGACACTAAGATAATTAACACATTTGTCACCTCATATAGTTAACTCTGTGCGTGTATGGTGAAAATGCTGAAGATTTGATCTCAGCAACTTTCAATATACAATACCAAATTATTAACTATAGTTACCATACTGAACATTAGACCTTCAAAATTTATTTTTCTTGTAACTGAAAGTTTGCACCCTTTGACCTACATCTCCCTCTTTTCCCTTCCCCCCCATCCCCTTGCAACCCCCATTCTATTGTTTCTATGAAATCAGCTTTTTTTTTTT